ATTGTTTTCTCTGAATGAAAATAGTTTATCAGTATTGCGGCTGGACGGCTCAAGCAGTGTAATTTCCTATGCGACGCGTTTGCCTTATTTTTGTTTTTGTTGGTGAACGTGTTAATATAATTTAGCAATATATTGATGATAGGTAATGAATATTTGAAGCAAAAATACCAGGAAAATCCTTATGAGGAAAACTCAAGACGGAATTATTTTTGTAGAGAAATATTTGTAAAAATGAGTCATGGGTCTAAGTCATGTTGACAATAAAAGTCACTCGAACTAGCGGCGATTTTGATTTAAATACTAGCTAAAACGTTGATGATTTAAATAATATTTTAAAAAAAATCGGCTGATTGTCGCTGGTTTCTTATATTGAGACGAGAGACCTCAGCCTTCTGATTGATTAGAGACTTGTTAGGACTTGCTTATCGCAGGATGCCAACGTACTAAGCAACAATAAAATTGAAACGATGGCCCATATTTCTAGGAAAAGTTCGCTGGTCTGTGCAGATGGATACGAAGCTGGTGATTGGCTACTACTAGTCAGAGCTTGTTTATCGCAGGTCACAGGAAAGTAACAAGTTATGGTTTCGCTGCGGTTGCAATAAACGTTGACGACGCGATAGCGAAACGACGTTTTTATTATAAATTACGTCGTCATCAAACCCGATGACGAAACGACGTTTTTATTATTAGTTACGTCATCATCAGTACAATGCACCTTGCATGAGGTACGAAGTCATGAGGTTCTATGTGTGTTCGATGAGCCGCTTGGAGTCAGGTACGGTCAATGACCCTGAACGCAGCGGCGGCTGACGCGACCAATAAAAGACATGGGCACTGGAAAGGGGGCGGGGCTTAGCGCCAACGACTGCTGGCGGGCTGGACGGATGACCCTGAACGGTACAAAAATTGCCAGAACGGACCTTAGATTTTCTTATGGAGATTTACATGGGAAAATGACTGATTTTGCGCTCGAACTGTCATAGCTCCTTTACTGCCGTAGGTAGCAGGGTATACCACTTTCAATGCTCGTGACTGTACGTGATACAAACAATATTTTTGTTTGTAATAGCGCTCCAAAAATTTATTGAAGTTTTCACATCCTGCAAGGGTTTTTTTTTGGCTTCTTCTTTTTGACTAGATATATCTCCTCTGAACTACTCAACCTATCATAAACTCAAAAACTGTTTCAAAATCAGAAAAAAAGCGCATATTTTTGAATTTTTTTTACTCAGAAGTAGCTACGGTTTACAGTTCAGAAAAAATTGAAGGAAACCAATTCGATTTCTATTCTTATTTTTTTGACAGAAATAAAACCTGTCAAAATGATTTTATATTTGTATTTCATTCTTTAGTCAAAAACAAAGCTATTTTTTTCTACTTGACGAAAATCGGTCAATGAATAAGAAAGTTACGATTTTTTTCCAGAATAGCACCAGTCGCCATCTTTAATTCATCATGGCGGAAAAAGCAAGCCTCCTAGGAGGTGTAACTTTTTTTTACAGAGTACTATTGATGGTTACTATCATCTGTGAAAAAATCAGCTTGATTGCAAAAACTTCTCCTATTTTTGCTAACTGCCCTGGCCTATACCGGGTGTCTACGAGATTAGTTTCGCGCTGGCATTTGCTGAGTTTTTTTTCAATGGCAAAGATTTTTGGTATAGGGTATAGGTTTGAGAAATGTCATCTTTTGACATATGTCTCAATGTTTGGTAACTTCCGGTTTGACTGGAAATGGCCCTAACTTCGTAATTTAGAATGGCATCCCAAGAATTTTTTCGCATCTTTGGGATTTGCGGATCATGATATGTATGAAAACGAACATTTTTGAAGAAACTTTAGAATTCTGGATCAAAATTTATTTTTGAATAGGAAGTGACAGAATGGTCTTTAAATTGTTTTTTTTCAACTAACGCGATCGTAGAAAAATACGAATGCCATGTTGTTATCCTTTGCTTGTTCTCCAAAAGCTTCCAAAGTTATGAAAATCACATTTTACGTGATATCTCAATGAAATCAGTGAAATCACCCAAGTTTCACATCATGAGATTTTCACCTTTTTCAAAATGAAATCAACTATGCATTAATATTTTTCATTTATGCCAGTTTTGGCAACATGGCATTCGTATTTTTCTACGATCGCGTTAGTTGAAAAAAACAATTTAAAGACCATTCTGTCACTTCCTATTCAAAAATAAATTTTGATCCAGAATTCTAAAGTTTCTTCAAAAATGTTCAAATTCGACATTTTCATAATGTATCATGATCCGCAAATCCCAAAAATGCGAAAAAATTCTTGGGATGCCATTCGAAATTACGAAGTTAGGGCCATTTCCAGTCAAACCGGAAGTTACCAAACATTGAGACATATGTCAAAAGATGACATTTCTCAAACCTATACCATATACCAAAAATCTTTGCCATTGAAAAAAAAACTCAGCAAATGCCAGTGCGAAACTAATCTCGTAGACACCCGGTATAGTCTATCGATAGTCAAATGAGACAGTAAAAAAAATAATATTCCTTTGGCCGTCGGCATTTTCTTTATGAAGCACGGGCGTGTAAGAGAAATTTATCAAAACAGTTTTATATAAAATAAAACATGAGGCACGATACAACTCAAATAGGAATCAAATTTATAAAAACTAGCTACTGCACTGTCTTTCCAGACGAAACTGATTCGCAAAAGGCGGCCGCTACAAAGAAATATGGCGCCAAAGACGCCGCCACCTAAAAGAAATATGCCGCCAAATACGCTGTTAAAATGTCTAACCAATAAGATATTCCTGGAGTCAACGTTGACTGTATAAAACAACCAATAAGATGCATTGTTCGCACGTGGAATCGCATCCAATGTATACGGGCACGCTCAATATATTTTTCCTAATAATAGTATAATAATTTTAACGGGCGATACGATAATTTGAGGAGACCCCAATTTTTGCCTTGTCCCATTTGAGAAACGATAGACTATAACTATACCTATAATATAATGGCATCCATTCGACATTTTTTTCAAAAATAAACAGTTTTCCCCTTATAGTCATAGTCATAGTCATAGTCAATCATACTTTATTATCCAAGAAAAAAACATTCTATTGACAAAGCATTAACTTAAAAGTAAAACAGAAAAATATAAAATAAATCACCAATAGTACAATGCAAATACCTCGGCAAATACAAACAAGTTAAAAAAAATTGACAAATAGTACGGCGATCCAAGCAATATTACATATACTTAAAACTATACTAAAATAATAAAATGTAAATAAAAGCGTTGATTGATAAAAGACAAGAGTACTTAAAACAAGAAAGGTTGTACAGTCATACAGTGTCACTATAGTAGTTCTCCAAGCTGTAGTAAGCCTTTTGCAACAAAATATCCTTAACACTCCTACGAAATAGTTTGTAGTTTCTGATCGTTTTCAGTTCATTACTTAGATGGTTGAAAATTTTTTTGCTCTCATAGAATATTGAGTGTTTTGCTAAAGCAGACTTTGGTATAGGTAAGCCTATATTATTGTTCGAACTTACTCTAGTGTTGTACCCAATATCCCGAGTTTCCAAACCTGAATATTTCTTGTGCACAAGAGACACAGTTTCTAAAACGAACAAACATGGTACAGTTAAATTTTTTTCCCTAAAAATAGCGGTTGACAATGTTTACGACCTGCAACTTTACACAAATAACGAATTGCCCTCTTCTGCAAAACAAATATCGAGTTAAACTGTTGCCTGTTAGTAAATCCCCAAAAAGCTATACCATATCTCACAAGAGATTCAAATAGTGAGTGATAAACCATTTTTGTGGTAGAACAACTAAGCTTTGCAAAGCAACCAGCAGACAACCTTTTACTTAGTGCCCTTATATGGTCCTCAAATTTAAGTTTGTTGTCTATGATGAGACCCAAAAATTTTGTTAGGGGCTTATTTTCTACAATTTCATCATTCAAATACAAATCATTGTAGCAAAACGGTTTTGCCAAAACCCAATGGTGATCATGCTGGTTTTATTTACATTAAAACAGAGCAAGTTTGCGTCACACCAAAGCTTAACTTCACGCAGGTCCCTATCAACAGTTAATTTGAGGTCATCTCTGTTTTTACCATGCCAAAGAAGACTAGTATCATCCGCAAAAAATGTAAACGAACCATGAATCTTTAAAGCTGCTAAGTCATTCAAATACAACAAAAATAAAATGGGTCCGAGAACGGAGCCTTGTGGAACGCCTCTTGTAGAGAATGATCCAGCAGAGTATTCGCCATTCGCTGTTACCACCTGCATTCTTCCCTTAAGATAGGCAGAAAACCATTTCATTGTAAGCTCCCCAAACCCATAGTGTCTCAGCTTCCGCAGCAACACTCCATGATCTACACAATCGAATGCTTTCGAAAAATCACAGAATATTGCTGCAACAGCATCGCCACAATATATAAAGGCACGTTTCCACCAACCTATCGCCCGCGTTTGAATTTACCGCTCGATAAAAGTAACTTTATACTTTGATTGCTCAACCTACAATTATCATTTTCCGGAAAATTCTTATCCTGCCTTGCTTAGACTAGTTAGTTATCTCTGTAGGTACCTATGTTTTATGTGTCCTATTTTATTCTCGCATTCGCAGATCACTGTGATCAAAGTGAACCTATAATAAATTAATGTCTAGTGGTTTTTGACAAAAATATGAATACTACTTCTTAAAGAAAGTTAAAATGTTATTTTCGTATGATGATATTATGAAATTAAATTAGGTAAGGCATGTACATTGATAAAAGTAGCTTAAATAGTAGCTTTCACTAATTCAAAATATAGTTAAGTTACTAATAGCTTAGCTACTTTTTCAAAGAGATAGTTCAAAGTAGCTTGCCCAGCTCTGACTAGTACATATTTCTATTTTCCTTTAGGTTTATAAATATAATAATTGACAATGTAAATATAATTAACTTTTATTAATACAATTGTAATTGTAAATTAGAAATAAATAAATAAAAACTTACTTTGTGCTGGCAAAGGAGTAGGGGGTGTTGCACCAGCTAAACGAAGTTGATTTTGCAAAGAAAAATCAATATTGTAAAATTCAAGTCCTGCACCTCTGGTCATTTCATTGGGTTTTGGAGGCATTACTAAGTCCGGATTGTTTTTTAGATCCAATACGTCTAAGTCATTTAATAAGTGTATTGTATCGGGAAGGCTTATAAGACGATTCGAACTCAAATTAAGTTTTTTAAGCGATCCGCATCTGGTGAATAAGAAAAATGGAAATTTTACAGGAAACTGTATTATTAATGAAAAGTCTTACCTACATAACCCTTCCGGGATCATTTCTAGGTGGTTATGGGCAGCCGAAAATGTTTCCAAAGCTCCTAATTTTCCGATACCTGAAGGAATACCTTCAAAATCCAACTGATTATCGTTGACGAAAAGTCTTCTCAGACACTGTAGTTTACATAAAGTTGAAGGCAAACTTGTTAATTTATTATGAGATAAGTTTAGGGTCTCCAGTTTTTGCCAAAATTCTATAGCTGAAAAAGTATGATTTTTTCAATCTCTCATTTTGAAATGTACTGTTACTATAATTAACTGGTTTTAAGTGGATCAGAAAGCAAGAGATAATTTTTGAATTTGTGTTTTGAGGATAATGTTAGTTAATCATATCTAACATTTACATATTTTAAATTGGTTGAATAAGGGAAAAAAAAAATCACTGGCAAATTTCAATTATTTCATGTATAAAACCAAGTATTGTTAAATCTAATTATACTTTTGCCACTATCTGAAATTAATTTACACATAATAATTAAATACATCTAGCTTTGTAAAGTTCTTTAATAAACTTAAAAATCTTGTCTAATTGTTTAATGAGATACCAGGTTGACAATTTTTTTTTTGGGTCTACTAAAATAGATCATCTAAGAGGGCAAATAAGGAGCTAATATTTAGAAGCACAAATACCTGAGGACAGTTCAGTGATTTCATTATCACTCAAATTCAATCGTTTTAAGCTGGCTAAAGAGTACAAAGCCTCTGGCACTTTGGGCAAAGCATTTTCAGACAAATCCACATCAGTCAAGTTGGTCAAATTATCCAAATTAGTAGGAAAATTACTTAGATTTCTTTGTGTGTTCCTCAGATGAAGTGTTTCCAAATTTATCAAACTAGGCAACTGTCTCAATTGAAAATGAGCCATAGGATTGTTATTCAAGATAAATGTTTGTAAATTGGCCAGACGTCTTGTTTGGGGAGGCAGTGTTTCCAAATTATTGTTACTCAAATCCAAAAATAATAGGTCTGTCAATTTGATAAAAAGCGAATTAGGTATGGCATCGATGCTAAAAACAAGCTATGAATTTAAGATAATTTATTTTTAAAAAATATCTTACTGATTGGAACTTAAATTTAAAACTAGTAGGCTTTTTGCTCTGTCCAATCCTTCAGGAACTTCCTTCAAATTATTATGGCTCAGATCTAAAGTGCTGAGTTCATCCAGATTGAATAATTCAGATGGGATGCCTGAGGTTTTCACATTGTTATGTCTGAGGTTTAGAGTTCTAAAAAAAAAAAAAAATATATTTAGTAACTGCGCAACTGTGCTGAAGAAGTGCAATAATCAATTACTTATCAAGATTATACTAGCTTAGCAAAATTATGATGATGATCCGATTTTCGCATCTGTGTTGATTTAAAATAAAGTAGGAGTTGGTTCTCTCATTTGATAACCCATTCAAAAAGTTTCATTCTCTCCTAATGCACAACTTCAAGATTGTTTTTTCTCCTGAATTTATTGTAGATAATGAAAAGAAACCTTGAATTTATGGAAGTTTATTTCTGTAATATATGATGTCTACAGTCTACACACACGAAAACACCATTTCTCACATTTACTTAATTCTATCTCCTACTTAAATCGCCATCGTTTAGTTAACCGTAAGATTATTGAGCTCTTAAGCTCACAAAAAAGATTAATAATTATTATACCAGAATAGCCAAAGCTACAAATTGACATCGAGAATGTTGCTCAGTAGAGGTGGGTTGCGATTTCACGAACTGTGACTTTGTCACTGCTACTCGTCTGTCACAGTCATGGCCTGCTCCAGTCCCAGTCAAGTAGCAGTGATATTTTGTCACTGCTTGCTTCAAGCTCCGACCGATGCAGCGCGGACAAAACTCGAACCAAGTGATGCGAACGAAATAATATAATATGAATCGCGTCGCAGTCATGCCAAATAAAAACTGCTACTGCAGAGGACAGGCTGGAAACTGGAACATCTCTCTCGGCCGTGACTGGTGACTGTGATTATGCCATGTTGCGATGGAGCATTACCATAATATTAGCAGTACGGCCGCCAACCAAGATAAAACTGCTCCAAAAAATCACTGCTATTTGTCACAGTGACACGACTGGAGCAGTCACGTCTTGTCACAGCTCCATTAAAATCGCAGATTGGCCCATCTCTATTGCTCAGACATCTCCAAGGACATCTCTGATCCTAATCTCCTCAGATCATTCACTATACTGACATGATTGTTTATCAATACTCTCACTAAAACACTAGACACAGTTGCCCCTTTGAAGTGAATTAAAATTCAATCCCGTTATAGACCGTGATGGAACGTGAAGGCTGACGCTCACTGGAGCGCAGCGTACGGAACCGCGGCGTAGAGGACTTTTTATAATACATTGTTTTAAACGAGAGTACGCTCACTTGTCGGAAGCGCACCGATCGGCATACTCCCATTTAAAACAACGTATTATAAAAAGTCCTCTACGCCGCGCTTCCGTACGCTGCGCTCCAGTGAGCGTCGGCCTTAAGGGTGAAGAATGCTGTGAGAATAAGAGATGAAAGTTACAAGCATTTTAAAAATCAGAAAACTGAAGAAAGTCATAGGGTCTATAAACAAAATAGAAATGTGGTAATGAGAATTATAAGAGAAGAAAAAAGGCTATTTTTTGAGACCAAGGTTGATCATTGTAAGAGTGATCTTAAAAGTATGTGGGCAACATTGAGACAGGTTTTTCCTGGAAATAAGAAATCAGGAAGAATACATAAAATTAATATTACCTTCCAGATTGAATCGGTTTTATGTTCAAAGCGTTCATGATATTGTTTCAGTAATAGTAACGATTTTGACATGTCTATCAACTTAGCGAGACAACTTCGAAAAATCGATTTTCCATTATGCCAGGAATTTGCCGCTTTTTTGCCGCTAATTAAATGTGGAATTAAAAAATTTGCCGCTCTTTTGGTTTTTTCTTAATTACGTGTTTTGCTAACTTGACGTCAAGATAGCGAGACAACATCACTAAATATGTCAGCATTAAAAAACTAGGTACGTGAAAATTTGCCGTTTTTTTGCCGCTAATTAGTTGTGAAAATCAAAAATTTGCCGGTTTTTTTTTTCATAAAAAATAAAGTTAAAAAAAAAAATCATTTGTTTCGCTAACTTGACGTCAAGTTAGGGAGACATTATCACCAAAAATGTCGGTAGTGAAAAATTGAGTGAATGGAAATTTGCCGTTTTTTGCCGCTAATTAGTTGTGAAAACCAAAAATTTGCCGCTTTTTTTTTACAAAAAATCAAGTTTGAAAAAAAAATCATGTGACGTCAAGTTAGCGAGACAATATCATTAAAAATGTCGGTAGTGATGAGTTGAGTGAATGGAAATTTGCCGTTTTTTTGCCGCTAATTAGATGTGAAAACTAAAAATTTGCCGCTACCTTTCTTTTCATAAGAAAATCGTGTTCGAAAATAAAATAGTGTTTTGCTAATTTAACGTAAAGTTAGCGAGATCACTAAAAATGTCGGTAGTGATAAATTGAGTGAGTGGAAATTTGCCGCTAATTAGCTCTTTTTCTACAAGAAAATATCGCGTTTGAAAAAAATATCATGTATTTCGCTAACTTGACATAAGTTAGCAAAACAGTATCAATAAAAATGTCGGTAGAAAATGTCATTCATCTGTCAAAACTGGTATTCGAACCATAAACTGGGCTCTGTGTCATTTGCGCGACAGTCGTTTGCGCGAGGAAGAAAAGCGCGATACTAAAAGCGCGAGGGACAAAAGCGCGACGGAACAAAAACGCGACTGGAATAAAGCACGATTGGACAACAACGCGAGGTATCTAACTATCTACGAGGACTGTAAGCAAGAGATGAGGGACACATCAAATTGTATCAATAATATTCAGAAAAATGCAGCCTTACTCAAACTAACCCATACTAACCCGTTCGCCTAGTGCGATCTAGTCTTCGTTAAATAGAATTTTATTTGAAAACAAGGCGCGGTCAAGGGACCCTACGCTATAAATAAATTGACTGTTTTTTTGAATAAAATGCTAACTTACGAGTACTAGATCGCAATAGGCGGACGGGTTATTTTGAGTTAGTTTGAGCAAGTCTGTATTTGCTTTATTATCATTGGTTCAAATTGATGTCGCCATACACACTTACTCAAACTAACCCAAAATAACCCGTCCACCTAGTACGATCTAGTCCTCGTAAGCATTTTATTTAAAAAAACAAAGTTAATTCACTGATTGCTCAGGGTCTCTTGAGAGCGCAGTGCTTTTTAAATAAAATGCTAACTCACGAGGACGAGATTGCCCTAGACGGACGGGTTAGTTTGAGTAAGTCTACATAATTTTGATTGATATTGGAACAATTTGATGTTTCCCTCTTTTGCTTAGAGGTCGTCGTTGTAAATGTCGCTCTTTTAATTTGTCACTGTTCTAAATCTCGTTCTTTACATATGGCGCTCTTTTGATATGTTGCTGTTTTTTTAGATGTCGCTATTTTGAATATCGCTGTTCCAAATGTCGCTATTTTGATATATCGCTTTAACAATGTGTCGCCTTTTTGATGTTGCTATTTTAAATATCGTTCTTTTGAACCGGAGCCACCGAAAATATCTTGTATTTTGGAAAACGATCTTCAGTTCTCGTAGTAAGGCACTTCACGTTTTTGGCCAATCGCGCTTTATCCAGTCGCGTTTTTGTTCTGTCGCGCTTTTGTCCCCTCGCGCTTTGTCGCTCGCGCTTTTATCCAGTCGCGTTTTTGCGCAGTCGTGCGCTTTTGTCCCTCACGCTTTTGTTCCTCGCGCTTCTAATCCAGTCGCGTTTTTGTCCATCGCGCATTTGTTCTGTCGCGTTTTTGTTCCGTCGTGATTTTGTCCCTCGCGCTTTTCGTATCGCGCTTTTCTCCCTCGCGCAAACGGTTGTCGCGCAAATGACACAGATCGCATGCATAAACTGGCATTTTTTAATTGTTGATTTCAACCAATCAGATTACGATTAAGTGATAATTTGTACTAGTGCAGGATTATAGGATTGGATAATTGCTTACTAACAGGTGGCATTTGACATTTTTTCTGATTGGTGACATTTTATACTTACGAGGATATACTAAAAATTTATATTTTTGATTCATGAAATTCTCTCATAAAATACAACTCGAGCAATGGAAATATATCTATAATTTTTGAGAAATTTGCTCTCATGCATTTTTAACTGGAAAAGGCACTCGTCGCTCGTGCTTTTTTTCAACTAAAAATGCATTCGGGAAAATTTGCCAAAAATTATCGATAATTTCCATTTTATCCCAATTTAATTTTATTTCTAATTTTATTTTATTTTCTGTATAAATGAGCACACGATATTTCGCTTTCTGATTTTTGAAACCTATAAGGCCTCCAATAGAGTTTTCCTGAGCTAAAGAAAAAAAACTGAAAAACTATTCTCAAAAAATTTAGAAATAAATATTTGTTCCAACAAATGTTGAGTTTCACTAATTAAAATACTTACAGGGTGCATAAAAATCAAGGGTGGGAGATCATTTATAACGAAACACCCTTTTACTCACCTAATTTTATAGTGCCCTTCGTTTTTTGTGATGATGTCGGTCTAACTTAACGGCAAGCTTGCGAAACACAAGTTTTTTTCAAACACGATTTTTTCATAGAGAAAAAGAGCGGCAAATTTTTGGGTTTTCACATTTAATTAGTGGCAAAAAGCGGCAAATTTCCACAGCTTTTCTCTACCACTCAATTTTTCTCTACCGACATTTTTAATGATACATACTGTTTTGCTCACTTGATGTCAACTTAGCGAAACACATGATATTTTTTTCAAACGCGATATTTTCCACTCACTCAATTTATCACTACCGACATTTTTAGTGATCTCGCTAACTTTACGTTAAATTAGCCAAACATTTATTTTCTTTTCGAACACGATTTTCTTATGAAAAGAAATGTAGCGGCAAATTTTCAGTTTTCACATCTAATTAGCGGCAGAAAAACGGCAAATTTCCATTCACTCAACTTATCACTACCGACATTTTTAGTGATGTCTCGCTAACTTAACGTCAAGTTAGCGAAACACATGATTTTTTTTTCAAACTTGATTTTTTGTAAAAAAAAGAAGCGACAAATTTTTGGTTTTCACAACCAATTAGCGGCAAAAAAACGGCAAATTTCCATTCACTCAACTCATCACTACCGACATTTTTAGTGATAATGTCTCGCTAACTTGACGTCAAGTTACCGAAACAAT